GGGCCTCGGCTCCTGGGAACCTCCCCGGCCACTCTCCCCGCCCCGGGTCCTCCCCGGAGCTTCTGCGCAGCTGTTTCTCCTTAAAGAGGAACCGCTCATCCCCAATCGGACGGGTCAAGAGCGAAATCCAAGATCAGAGGAGGGAAATGTATTTGCGTTTAAATTCTGAGCACCAGGGGTGCAGAAGGCTACCAAAATCCATTTACTACGGAAACTCCCCTTGATACCCAGTGACTGGGCATGGGTCAGTCCGTCAGAAAGGGAATCATGGCACATAGGTTAAAATTTAACAAGTTAGTATTTGTTTTTTCTTTTCACACATTCTTAATCTACTCTGGTGTTTATTGTTTTCTACTTTTTTTGGATTAAAAACAATGTAACGCATGTCACTGAACAAGATGTATAGAAACTGTTAAACGAAAACCTAATCTGTGTAAATCTTCACTGAAAACACGGTGATTTTAAAAAAAACAAAAAAAACGAGGGGTGAAGCTCCAGCATTGAGTCCCATCTAATCTAGGCCCTCCGGATGAGATTATGGAAGGCCCAAGAGAGAAAATGGTGGGCCCAAGATCACAAATTAGTGACACGCTAAACTCAAGCACTTTCCACCAAAACAATGGTGAGGAAAGACCGGGGCACTTAGAGAACGGTGACTTAACAAGCAAGATTCTCAGCACGTTTTAACTGAGAGAAAAACACATACAAACACATGACATTTGCAACCTGTGGGAACCACAGAAACGCCGAAATCACCAACGATGCACAGCCTGTTGGTGCCACTAACAAGCAGGGTCTGGTGGAACACACCCACGTGAGACGCCCTATACACACCCAGGGACAAGGCCATCGGTGCTCCGGCCAGTTGGAGGGCTAGCCACTTTTAGCAACAGGCCAGCTGGGCATTGAGAGAAGAGCAGTCGCAGCAGCAGCTGGTCCAACTCTGTCCACTTCTTACTGAGCCTTGTCTCCAAGTGTCCTTCTGCAGAAGGACTGACACAGACCTCTTAGCTGGACCCTCTGGCCTGAGACCAAGGTCTCTATCACTGCAGGTGGAAAGAAGCCTTCCTTCCAACCTCAGCCAAGTTATTGGGCTACGCTTACCCTCGTACCAACCTCTGCCTGTCTCAGAATTCATGTTTACTTTCGTCAGTGTTTATACCTTGTACTCACCACTTCAAGCAAAATATCTTTGGTTTATTGAGATCATTGCCATCAGCATTGACTGAGGGTGTTAATCTCACCCCCTCACCCCCACATAAACCTGACTTTGTAGAAAGACACAGGTGGGAGTGGAGTGCTTGAAGAGCCCTTATGTCCAGTGACAATGCCCTTTGGGTGACTTGTGAGGGCTTTTGAAAGGAAGGGAGGGGTGGCGAGGAGGAGGGACTGACACGCCCTGGGCACACCATCACATTCACACACATTCTATCATCTATACACACATTCGCAACTCAGGTTCACACAGACACACACTGGCATAGACACACACACACAGGGATGCTCACACACCCATGCTCTTCACTGCCCCAGTTCCACCGGCCTTGGCCATCCTGAGGGCCTGCCCTGGGGTTCTGGCTCTGGCCCTGCCAGCAGGCCGCTTCGGCCCTCCTGTCCCTCCCAGGGCCCAACTGCTGTCATTTCTCGTTCTGCCAAGGAGGGGGAAACTACAGTGACAGCGGGGGCAACAGACTGAGAGTCTTAGGACACAGAAAGATATGAAGAGGGAGGAGCTTGATGACAATGATGGGGGGGTGGGGGGGGGAGCTGAGGAGCAGGGTGAGGGGTGGTGAGAGCCCCAGGGGGAGAGGAGAGGAGGCAGAAAGGAACTGAGGGACTGGGAGACGGATGAGCTGCAAAGCCAGGCAGTCGGTCATGCTGGGAGCAAAGCGAGACTGCCTGCCAGCTTCTCCACTCAGCCCTGGGCCACCCTTGGCCCTAATGCTTCTGGCCCTGGGAGTTGGGTGGGCTCAGGAGGGGACAGAGCCCCTGCTGCTGGAGGGTGAGTGCCTGGTGGTCTGTGAGCCCGGCAGAGCCACTGCAGGGGGGCCTGGCGGAGCAGCCCTAGGAGAGGCCCCCCCAGGAAGAGTGGCATTTGCTGCAGTCCGAAGCCATCACCATGAGCCATCCGGAGAGGCAGGCAACGGCACCAGTGGAGCCATCTACTTTGATCAGGTACCAGACCTGGAAGGGCCTTGCCAGGGCCTGGGATAACTGCCCAAGCCCCCTTTGCCGCCCCTCCCACTTTAAGAAAACAGCCTCCTACATCTCCCTTTGTCCCATGATCCCCCTTCCCTACACACCCCTATGCACCCCCTGGCCCCTTCCCACCATTGCCTTTGAATCCACACATTTCTCCTGGGTGCTCCTACCTGGCCCTCTCTTCTTTTCCTTACTCACTAGCTCTTCCTGCTTCCCTCCAGGTCTTGGTGAATGAGGGTGGTGGCTTTGACCGGGCCTCGGGCTCCTTCATAGCCCCCGTCCGGGGCGTCTACAGCTTCCGCTTCCATGTGGTGAAGGTGTACAACCGCCAGACTGTCCAGGTGACCTGAGCACTGGGCCCCTATCCCAGCTCAGGAGGGGCATGGGTGGGGTGGGGGTACGTAAAGCTGATCTGGCCTCTGGGCACTCCCTCCATTGTCCTGGGAGGTTGTGCGGGGAGGGGAGGGAAACAAGGCTGGAAAGGGCCAGCCTAGCAGAGTGTGGGAAATGCGCAACAGCACGCTGGCCACCCACTGCATGTCTAGGAATCCACTGGTCCCTTCCCTGGGGCTGGACAGCTGGAGAGAAGAGAAGAGCCCCTTGGGAGTCCTGAGATCAGGGGAGCCTGGTGCTGAGAAGCGGTGCTGATCAGGCTCCCCTCCCCAGGTGAGCCTAATGCTGAACACCTGGCCTGTCATCTCAGCCTTCGCCAATGACCCTGATGTGACACGGGAGGCAGCCACCAGCTCTGTGCTGCTGCCCCTGGACCCCGGTGACCGCGTGTCCCTGCGCCTGCGTCGGGGGAACCTGCTGGGAGGTTGGAAGTACTCAAGCTTTTCTGGCTTCCTCATCTTCCCACTCTGAGAGTCCAGACCGGAATGCAGCCGGAATGCGGCCCCTGGCCATTGCCCACGGCCCTCTCCAGTCCCAGGACCAGTATCTTCGGGGCATGGGAGGGGCTCCTCTGGGCTGTCTGTATTTCACCTTCTTGCATGGGACCCTATACCCAACACAAAATTAAAAGCACGAGAGACTATAGCTATAGCATCTCCAGACCATCCCCCCTCTTACTCTGCCTTCTCTGTCCTCCCAGCCTCCCCACCGCACCTCTTTGTGCCTGCAGCCCCAGAATCAGGACAGGGATGAGTTGGGGTGGGGGGGGCGAGTTGTTGAGGACTGCTTTGCTGTCTCTGCCCCTCCTTCATCCCTGACTCAGCTTCTTGCTCAGCGCTGTTTGGAGACAGGTGGCACAGGTGAGACTGACAGGCCCCCACAGGGGACCAGATGGACTAGCCTCAGCATACCCAGTAGGATCCTTCCTGTCAGTAGTGCCAGCATCCCACATCTCTGCCGGCAGGGTCAGGAGCTGAGCCAGCACTATGTGGACAGAGTGGGCGGTTCAGCCACGAGCAGCGTTATGGGGAGGGCCGCAGAGCAGCGTAGAGGCTATGGCTGGATGGCAAGGGAGGGGGACGCCCCCACCTGAAGACAGTACGTGTTCTCTTGTTCATAGGGCAGCAGGCAGGGAGGGAGCCCAATCACCCACCAGTGCCAGGCCCTGGGTGGACTCTGGGCCTCACCTCCCCACCCAAGATATGAGACGTGCGTATTTGTTCTGACGTGTTCTTAAGTTGACCTGAGTGTAGGTGTTAAGAGTTGCCTTGGACAGCTGGAAGCGGGGCGGGGGTCATGCATCCATGACTCGGCATTCTTTCTCGTGGCCACCTCTGCAGCCTGAACCTTGTCACTCTGACTGCCACCGCCCTTACGGCCTCCACTGGACCTGCTCCAGTCTACCCCCAGGCTCTTCCTTCTCCTGATGTGTGTTGTCTTATCCTCCTCCTTAAACATCTTACCCTCTTGGATTCCGTGATCCATCCCACCAACTACTCTCCTGCTAATAGCTTTAACCACTCCCTCTTACCCCACAGTCCTGTTGGCCTGCACGGATGAATGTATCAGTAAAGTAACCAGAGAATGGGCATCAGTGGGACACCATAGGCTCTCTAAAGAGAGGGGCATGTGGTTACAGGAGTTATCGGGGCTAAAGGATATAAGCAAGTGTGCTGTCAAGAAAAGAAATGTAAAACTGTGTATTAGAGTTGGACAAAGAAGAATGTAGTAATGTTTGAGTTAAATAGGAAATATTAGTGCAAATTTGTGGTTTTAAAAAAGAAGTAGTTCTTTAAAGTGTTATCATTAACCTATCTTAAAAACATTGGGAGCAATGTGGTACACATTTATAACACCTGCACTCGGGTCTAAAATGTCATTCCCTGAGGGTTCCTTGGAGAATAGCCCCATGCCTTGAGGGACTCTAGGTCCAGAGCATGTTCTTTTCATTGTTTTTAATCATTTTATTGGGCGTTCTTACAGAGGCTGTAACAATTTGTAATTCAATTAGATCATGCCTGATTATACCATTGCTGTCACCATCGGTTTCAAAACATTTTCGTTCTTCTTAAACTCTTTGAAATCAGCTCCCCTTTATCCACTCCCTCTCCCACCATATCTCCCAGGAACCCTTATTGTTATATCTATTATAAATTATTATTTTCCATGCCTACACATCCAATATATCCATTCACCTAAAAATCTGTTATTCACTCCCCTCGAGTGGAATTATATAGTCATCATTGCTATCAGCTCCCTGTCCCCACTCTTTCCTTGCTCTCTGGGAATCACTACTCCTGTTACTGTTTCTGAAGGGCTATCTAGCTTGGCTTTGACGCACCAACTGATCTTAGTTGCACACATGAGCATACTCTTGTCTAACTAGGTTAGTGAGGTGAGACAGGACCCAGAGCATGTTCTTGATGATGGGAGGATGGAGGATGGAGGATGATGGACTGCTTTTCAAAATGTGTACAGTAGGGCTGAAAAGACAAAGGAAGCAACATTAATCATCAAATTGTGAACATTTAATCATCAAATGGAAAATAACATAGCTACTTAGAAGAAAATGAATCTTTAGATCGCCAAGTCCATAATGACACTCAGAAAGGAGGACAGCACCATGAAGTGTTCTGTAAATGTTTAATGTAAAGAAAGCTGAAAGGGTGTCTGCAAGAGGATGTTCTTAAGGGAATTTTAGGAGTGGACCGGGGTAAATATAGAGGATATTTTATCTGGTCATAGAACACATTCATTTTCCTTTCTTTGGATGAGTAGGATGGGGTAGACACAGAGAAGGATCCCTGGTTAAGCACTGGGCCGTTAACCAAAAGCCCAGCATTGGAAGAAAAGGCAGATCCATCTGGTCCTCTAAAAATGACAGCTGGGAGACCCTACGGGGAAGTTCTCTCTTATTGGGACATGATGAATCAGAATGAACTTGGTGGCACACAACAGAGAGAATTGTAAGTAAGGCAGATAATTCTAGGGAAAAAAGAACATTGACACTGTACCAAGAATGAAAGGGACTTTGATATACTTTATGACCAGGGACTTGGGGCAAGATGCACACAGGAAGACAGACCCTTTACAACAAATACCCAAGAGATCAAACGAAGCATATATGAATGATAATCCTGAAACGCTTGAGCTTCGGAGGAAAGAAGAGAAAAGTGGATTAAATACCAACTCAAAGACGCTAAACAAAAGTGACAGCAAAGTGAGAAACAGAACCAACGGTCAGCAGGCCTCAAGAAATGCCCCCATTTTGAACTTTTGCAAGCAGTGTTCTCAAACGCACTGCCATTGAGTCGATGCTGAAGATAGTTGCCCTAAGCAGTGTTAGATCAGATCAAAACCGGCTCACTGCCATCAAGTTGAATCCAAGTCATAGTGACCCTATAGGACAGAGTAGAACTGCTCTCCTGTGGGTTTCCGAGGCTGTAAATCTTTACAGGAGCAGAAAGCTTCATCTTCCTCCCTCAGTACAGCTGGTACCTTCAAACCTCTAATCTTTCAGTTAGCAGCCCAACCAATGCATAACGCACCATGCCACCAGTGTTAGCTCAGACAGCCACCTGATCATTGATTCTGCTCACCCAGGACCATACAAGAGCCCAAACCAGTAGTAACAACTAGAAAGGTACAATTCTCTCCTTGTTCCATCACACCCTTCTAGTGACCAGAAATATAGTGAGCCCCTACCTTTACCTACCCAGTGGCCAGTTATACCTCCCCATTCTTCCACCCTACACACCCCTGCCTGCTCTACCTGCTCTCTGGTGGACTGGGAATTGGGTACATACCACCCCTGTGTCTGGAGCCACGTGTACGCTGCCTCCTCAGACCAGCAGAACTTGCAGTGCTGGATGGACACCCTGAGCCTGACACCCCTAACCTCAGCTACCCACTGGGCCTGCAAGAACTTCTTCTGGGAGACACGGACAGTGTAAGACACCAAAGAACAACAATAATATATAAGTGATCAAGGATTCACAAGGGTGGAAAGATGGGGGAGGGAGGTGAAAAATGGAAGCTGATACCACGGGCTCAAATAGAAAGAAAAGGTTTTGGAAAGGTGGATGGCAACATATGTACAACTGTGCTTACTACAATTGAATGATGAATTGTATAAGATTTGTAAGAGCTCCCCAATAAAATGATTTAAAAAAAATACAAGACTTTTTTGTCAGGGACCCTGACTCCAGACACCTTGTAGGCCAGCAGGGGTCCAGTAAGACCAGGTGTCCCCCCACCACCCATAGTCATGACTTCCTTGGCCAACAGAAGCCACCAACCCATATAGGGTGACCTGCCCACCCTGTTTTCTCCTTTCTGCTTCCTCTGCCTCCAGTTTTCTCCCTTTTCCCCTTTTCTCTGCCTTTTCTCTTTCTCATTTGTTTTCCCCTTACCTTCTACCACATTCTTTTTTCTTTAAGTTTTTCCTTGCTACTCACCTCCCTTTTGTTCCTCCCCTAATTGTATTTTGTTTTCTTCTTTTATTTTTTTTCTTCCTTGTTTTCATTTTCATTTTCTTCATTTTTCCTTTTAGCCAGTTTTCTTTTCTCCTGTTAGTATTTGCTTTGTTCTTCACTTACCTCTTTCTTTTTCTTGCTTTTGTTGTTTTTGATTTTTGATTTTTCTCTAGGTTGTTTCTCTAGTTTTTTCCCCCTCTAAGTTCTCTAGTGATGTCTCCCAGTGGGAGACATCAGCTGTGCCCACATTGCCCAGCAGCCCCACCTGCAGGCCCACCCATTTCAGTCCCCGCACACACATCCACACACACACTGAGAAAAGGCCACCATGTGCTCCTGCACCACCTGATCAATAATACCAGCCCACCCACCCCGCCTTCAACTGCATTAGATGAACAGAAAACTGGACATACATTCCTATCTTCCATCACGCCCACCAAGAAACAGGTGGTGAGTTGCCAACAACGCACTAACATACAACGCCAATTAACTACAAATTCAACACCACCGCAATGCATCAGCGACAACAGATGGTTTCCGTCTGTATAAAGAAACAAGGCAAAGCCAGGAAAGTGTCCTGAAGAAGAAATGGCATTGGAAGTACCTGGTAAGATATCCCCCCAAAAATGACATGTAGGTACCTTCATTGGATTGAGAGAAAAGTCAAGAAAACTACAGACAAATCAAGAAAAACAGACAAAACATTAGAAGAACTGGGGGGTGGGGTGCGGGAGGGGAACACTACAAACACAAAAGAAAAACTTGAAGCCATACCAAAAAATAACAGATAGAAATCCAGAAGATTGATTGATATTAAGATTCCAAAATTACATGATGCACACAAAGGACAGGGGGGTTGAGTTGAATCCATGGAAGACAGGGTTAGTGAGATTGAAGAATCTCTCTCAATACTAATCTGCTAGAGCAGCGGTTCTCAACCTATGGGTCGAGACCCCTTTGGGTGTCGAATGACCCTTTAACAGGATTGCCCAATTCATAACACTAGCAAAATTACAGTTATGAAAATTACAGCAAGGAAAATAATTTTTTTTTACACTCGTATTACCCAATTTATTAGCAAGGAAAATAATTTTATGGTTTCTAAGTTTTCTTGACTTTCACAACATGAGGAACTGTCTAAAAGGGTCATGGCATTAGGAAGGTTGAGAACCACTGCGCTAGAGGAACAATCAGATAAAAGAATTTAAAAAGAGAGAGAAAAGAAATCTTAAGAATTATGTGGGGACAGAAAGACCTCAAAAAAGCACAGAGAAAACTGTCTAAGGGTTGCTGGAAGAAAACCTCCCTAATATCATGAAAAATGAGAAGATACGCATTTCAGCTCAGCAGCCCCCCGAGCAAGATAAACCCCAAAAGAAAATCACAAAGATATTTCATAGTCAAACTTTTGAAACCCTAGACAAGGAAAGACTCTTAGGAGCAGCTGGAGGATTGGGGTGGAAATTTCCTACAAAAGGGAACCAATCAAACTAAACTCTGATTTTTTCATCAGAAACCAAGCAAGCAAGAAAGCAACAGAATGACACATATAAAACTGAGGGGGAAAATACCAACCATGGATTACCTATCCGGTAAAATTCTCCCTCAAATACAGCAGTAAAATTAGAATATTCCCAGATAAACAGAAATTCGTATAAATTTTTAAAACCAGACCATTCATACAAGAAATATGAAAGGCATTTCTTTGGACAAAACAACAGCAGACAACAACCTGACGTTAACGGACATGGCAACACCCTCCTCCTTGAGAAGAGTCACCTAAGACGTATAAATATCAAAAGTAAATTTAGCCTAGAAGACTAATAATAGGGGACCAGATATATCAAATTGTAAACACAGATAATTACAAAATAAAGGCAGGGAATAGTAATGTAATTACAGAACTTCCAAATCAATACAATATCCAGTCACTATCAAGAGAGAACACACTGTTTTAAACGTAGAAAGAAATTAACAAATTGTAGGGTAACCTCTAAGAAAACTTCTCATCAAAGCAAAAAAGAGGGAGATCATAAAGATTTAGTAAAAAAAAAAAAAAAAAAGATTTAGTAAAATGTAAAGAAACAGCAATGAAGGAAATGATTTTCTTTAAAAACCTCAGCACAGAAAATTAAGTGGAACAGAGAAACCAGCAGTACCACACACAAGAAAGCAGCAAAATTATAATAATAAATTCTTGCCTGTCAATAACAGTGTGGTAAAAAACAATGAACTGGCCAAACATCTAAAAGAGAACTGTTCACTGTTCAAGCTGGATTTTCCATCTCCTGGTAAATGAAGCCTTTGTGTTACTTAACTGATTATAATTCTAGGCCTAGAACACATAATGAGACTTTTTTGAAAAGACAATTTATACATGTACAATTTAGTGACACTGATTAAATTCTTCTAGTTGTGAAGACATCCCCACCCTCTTTTTCTGAGTTGTCCCTCCCTTATTAACATAAACTCACTGCCTCCTAGTGTTCCCATCCAAATGTTTGAGCTACGGCCCTCAACCGGATTCCACATTGATCTAAAAGCGCACAGTCAGGTCAGTTTCA